ATAATTTAAAACATACAGTATATTGTTGTTTCTGCCTGGATCCATTATTACATGTACAGTAATTTTCATTTTGGTCCATGGTCAATTCAACTATCAAAATAGTAATTATAGTAAAAGTTAATGTGATGCAATGTAAACTGTTTTTTAAAACTTTTAAAAGAGGAACAAAATAATTCTTCATTTCCTTGTTCCAAACAATACATACAAATATTTATAAAGACTGTCAGTAAACAGGTTTCAGTATCAAAATATCATTCCAGAGAACAATCTTGAAAATATATCTATATACATTTTTGTTTTCTAAAAAGGAACATTCAGCTATAAATCTTTGTGTTCCTGTCTAGTCTTTTTTATTACCCAGTGGATATTTTTTACATTTCTTAACGGCCCTTTTTAAAGGTTGTGTAACACTGCACTAAAAAAAAGAGGTTGGTGATAAATGCTTACTTGTTGATTTGATTCGTAAGCAGACTCGGGCCAGTGGGGAGAACTCTCAGATGAAAAAATGCACAACTCTTTTGGATTTACAAAAGGAAATGGCTTACAATGCTTATCCAGATGTTTTCTGACCAGATGTATTACATTATGATTTCTGAGGGCTAGTTGTCCTACCTGTGCCTTTGCAGAGGAAGCAGTAAATAGTAAACATGTTAACTGTGATTTGGCAGGAGCTATGCTGGACAGAATGTTTTCATTTCTTCTACTCACTCTTCCCTCTGGGTTATTATTGCTACCCAGAGAAATACAGATGCAGTCAGCACTTTCCTCTACATATGTGCAAATTAATACTTGTAAAATTATGTTGCTGCTAGAGTGTCAAGGGACAGAACTAAGAGCAGTAAGTCTTTTTATAATATGCCTTCTTTAAATATCATTTCTCTATCGTTTCAAGGAATTGTGCACAAGCATTTTAAAAGAAAAAAAATACTAAGAACTATTACCCTAGACATCCCTGAGAAATCATTTCCTACAAGTGCTAATGGCATTTAAATGTATACTTTTCATCAGGCTCGTTTTACCATTTGTACCAAGAAAAAAAGAGGACATTCTAGCATATTTGGTTGCAAGTGGCTGATAGATCTGTGGATCTCACCCACGTATTACTTTAAAGAAACTATAAATTAGAATTTGTTTGCAAGAAAGAGAAAGAAAAAGATTTCCCTATCGTGAATGAGTATTTTGGGGGCAGCACGGTGGAGCAGTGTTCTCCCAGTGTCCATATGCTCCGGTTTCCTCACACGGCCCAAAGACATGCTGGTACTGTAGGTTAATTGGCTTCTGGTGGCTGGGGAAACTGGCCCTGGTGTGTGCGTGTTTGTGTCTGTTTGCCTGTGATGGACTGGTATCCCTGCCAGGGTATATCCTGCCTTTGCCCGTTGCTTGCTGAGATGCGACCCTGAATTATATACAGTATAAGTTGGAAAATGCGTGGATGGAAACGAGTATTTTGACTGTGGCACCACTGGGGATAGGCTACAGAATCTATGAGGTAAGGGTGTTCTCACTTTACCCTGCTCCCAGATGTGTCAGAAAAGGTAAAAACAATGTCCTTTTTTACAATATGACCAAAAACGAAAAACAAACTCTTGAGTCCTTCGTTACCAGAAAGCCGGGCAGCTTAGTGTTTTACCGGCACCATGGCAATCCAGAGCCCACAAAACAGGGCTGTCGAACAGCTCTCTCGATTTCTTGTTGGGCACTTGGCTCTTTCTTACACCATGACACGTTTCAGTGCTTCTGCCCTCCGTTCTCAGGCTGCAAATACGAAACAGTGGAAAGTGTCGCTTCCTGGTTTTTAAAATCGTTTCCTGACCAACTGTCGGGCGGCGGGTGACTGCGTGCAGCGGTAGTTTCTATGCGCACTTGCAATGTACCCGAGGCAGTGATCTCCATCTTACCTCCTCTTAGCCCCTTTGTGCATACACATTTGAAATTGACAACACACACTGCGGTGGGAGGCGAGCACGTTCGATCAGGGGCTCTCAGGAGTCGCTCTCTTCCTGCCACACCACACCTTTCCTCGAACAACGTTTAATCCTGCTGAACCAGAAACACCCGAGCTGTTACCACCGGAGGACCTGGCACCTCCAGATTCTCCTAGAAGAGGGGAGAACGTGTTCAGCCAGACCCATTTCACAAATACATGGGAGTATATCAGGTGTGCTCTTCTCTGGTTATTAGGTCA